AAAAACTAGAAAAACAATAAATCAACAAGTTAACAAGCAGTTAAAAAAAAATTCCTTATTATAAGGCAAAACAAATGTAGAGCTGTTCAACCCTACCTATAAGCAACAAAAAAAAAAATTCAAGATTTAAGACTCATAAACACAGACAAAAAATATATCCAACACCAAACGCCAACAGTTCATCAAACTTATACCTAGCAAAAGTCATAAAAAAGATCAGCCAAAGAACAATAAATAATCCTACATCAAATAGTTAAATGAGAATTCCTCATTAAAAGTCAGCACATAATTAATTTTCTACACTACATAATTAAAAAACCAAAAAAAAAATATAGAAAAACCACTGTTAATTATATAAAAAAAAAAAAATATCCAACTCTAGACAAAATTAAGATTATAAAATTTTAAATAATTAAATTCTTATTGAAAGCCAAAACACAAGTCCTATTGCGCTCTTCCTAGTTAATCCATTATAAATAAAAAAAGAAATACTTAAATAAAGATAACTCCAATCTTGTTTCCATTACTCTTCTCAATGTAATTGATGAATTCCTGAAAAATAGTTTTTTGAAAAAAATGTTTCAAGATATTTTATGTAAAGTAATGAATTTGAATTTTATTTCATTAAACATTTAATGTATAAAATTCAATAAAAAAAAATTATAAGTGGTTACCCGGCTCTCAAAGGACACCTCCTTTAGATTGAAACGATTCAAAATCAAAGTTCTGAAAAGAAACATAACATACAAATTAAGATTTTTATTATTATCAGTTAATTGTTGTCGTAGGATATAAAGATATAAAATATTTTATGTAAATTAGATGAATTTGATTTTTATATCATTATATATTCAGTGTACAGTCAGAGTAGAAATGAAAAGGGGATTCCCGGCTCCCGGAGGAAAATTGATTTGGGTCGATCCAAAAAAAAAATCCAAGTTCTGAAAAAGAAACATAAAAATAAATGTATTAAAATTAGTCAAAATTTTTTATAAAAAAGCCAAAACACAAGTCCTATTGCGCTCTTCCTAGTAAATCTATTATAAATAAAAAATACTTAAATATAGATAACTGCAATCTTGATTCCATTACTCTTCTCGATGTACTTAATGAATTCCTGAAAAATAGTTTTTTATGATGATAAGGTGGTTGCCCACCGATCAACCCCCAACCTGGAGGATCAGCCAAAAGGGTCTGTAAATTCCTTAGATAGATTGTTGATAGGGATTTTTCTGGATAAATAAAATAGATTATTGATAGAAATTTATCCAGATAATAATAAGAGATAAATTTAATTTTCTAGATAAAAATATAGATAAGCACCTTTTTTTATACTAACATATGCATACTATGCAGTTGTATAGCTAGAAATCTCCTGTTAGAATTAACTAACAACCTTCAGATTCATTAAATAAATAAATGGAAAAAACAACATTCAACAATTATTGGATATTAAGTACTATCAAGATATATTTTATACTTGTAGCTGCTTCAAATACCTATCGTATATTCTCTATATTTATGTATTTATATAGGTACATTATCCCCGCGGTAGACCGAAAAAACGGTAGTTAGATGTAGTCAAAAGAGACCTGTAGGAGTTGAGACCAGACTGTCATAGGTTATGTATATTATATAATTATAATAACTCGTATATAATAGAGAGGAGTGAAAAAATTTAGTATTGGTAACAAAGGGCCTAAAAGGTCTATAATGTTAAAAAAATAACCATTATTATGGTTTTCAAACACGAAATGTAAAAATTTATTTAAGTACTTGCTTTAACATTAAATAAATACTTATACATAGAAAATTATCTAGATAAATTAATTTAAATAACTGCATTTTTCATATAAGATAAAAAAAAAGATGATCAGTAGAATTTTATCTAGACAAGATAATAGATAAAAATATTTTCATCTAGATAAGTTCCAACACTATAAACGAATAAATTTGTAACGGGACAGAATTGTTTATCTGCCGTTAGTCATCATTCGTGTTACCCTCACGGCATAATAATAAACCAAAATGGTTATGGATCCAATCTCAGCGTCCACAGACCCGCGCCTAGAGTTTTGCGGTGGAGTCTCATAGTTGTAACAGAAGAATTTCTTAGGCATATTTTACCTCCGGTACAATTGTCCTATGTTATCTTTACCCCCGATAAGATTATCCTAGGTTAATTATAGCCCCTTTAGTGAGTACAATTATCCAAGAAAAGTTTTACCCCCGGTAAGAATATCCTAGGATTCAACTACGTTCTAAAAACACTGCACAAATAAAATTATTTTTTTAAGCGATCAGTCTTTTGATTGTAACGGAGCCCGCGCTCAGACGAAAACGGCTTTTTTCAGAGCCACCAAGAACAACATTGTGACGATGTAAAACGGCACGAAGGCAACCAATACAGCAGAAGAACAGTGTCGTTTTACATCGTTGGGTGGACAGATAAAAATCCGAGGAATGAGAATGGAGCGTCGATGTCTGATTAGGTATACATACCGGTCATTTTTCAGAGCATCGACACTGTTCTTCCATTCACAACGATCTACATCCAAAAGATAAGAAGAATAGGAGCACCCGCCAGCTGTTACTGAGAATACGACGAAGGCAATTGCGGCATTCACGGCGATCTTGAATACGGCTATAGCAACCTTACGGCGGCTGCAGTAACCACGGCCGTGAAAAACAACGACGAATAAGACAACCCACGAATCCGGCTCCAGCGATGTTTACACGCGGAGCTCCGCGATTCGTCGACACTAAAAACGGCCCTTTTCAGGGTCATTATCCGTACAAACCTTTTCTGCGCACTTACACAAGTGTCCGCTGGTAAAGTGATCACGGTCGGTACGCTCGTTTGCTTAAGTCTGCTGTCGACTGTGTATCCAATTTTCTATCGCATCTGCTCAGGTCCAATACCGCTTGCCGCGGTCGCATATTCGAACCAGCTGCGCGGCCCAGAATAATTTTATTAAATGTATTACTTTTATTTAATGTTAAATAAATAACTTGATATTTATTTCGTGAACATTTATAAAAAGATCCGGGTGTCGGTAATCCCGGCACTCCGTTTCAACATGTAAAGACAATGGTATGTACCTATAAACATAATTGTATTAATAAAATTTGTTTTTCCTCCATTTTTATTAACAAAAAATATCGTAGGAAATCATACCTCCCTCGAGGTACAATATTTCTAGTAATTTCTTATCGGGAAGTAAAATTATCCTAGAGTATTCTTACCGGGGGGTAAAACTTTCCTAGGATAATCGAACCCACTGAAGGGGGAATAATTAACCTAGGATAATCTTACCGGGGGTAACTATAACCTAGGATAATGGTACCGGGGGTAAAATATGCCTTGGAAAATCTTATTTCCCCATCGGTAATATTTTCCGGGGGTATGATTTGCCTGTTACACCGCCACCATCGGACTTGAGTGCGCCGTGTCGCCTGTCGAGAGATAAAGTCCCGACGGTTGTATTAATCCGTGCTCGTGTAATATCCGATGATATACATAGCGATCTCGTCACACACCTGTGATTTATATCACAAAGTCGCCACACAGTGATCTGAAAAGTAAATTTACCTTACACAAAACTTAATTCAGAAAGTATGATAAAATGTTATCTAAATGAAATCTTTATTTTATAGGTATAACCTAACCTATATATATATCTATTAGTTAATTAATTTGATAAAATTAAAGCCATAAATATTATTGATGTCTTTAGACAACTTAAAATGTATATAATTTAAAAAATATTGTCTATCATCGTGAGTATTTATTTCATTTTGGTTTTATTGGAAGCACATTTTAATTATTAAAATTATTCTTTTTGCATTTGTATACACAATGGAATATACGTATGAAGGTAAATACCATTAAAACACATTTATATACACATATATTAATGAAGTTATAAAATTCAAATTTTTTAAATTGTGTTTTTAATGATATAATATATATTTCGTTAGTAAATAATTCAATAACTTTAAAATTACAAAAAATTACATCTCTATATTATATTATTTATAATGTATACAAGCTACATAATTGATTTTAATAAATTTGCTCTGCCTATATCTGCTTATGTGCTCATTATAATCTCGTTTTCAGCAGGCTGTAGTAGCGGTGAAAAACTAAAAAAATTAACCAACGATGATTTGTTTAATTTTTTACGAGGAGTAGGTGCAATGAAACCTCTGAGTGTGGAATCTAGATTTTTTCTACTGAAAAAATTCGCGAAAAACACAATGGATATGAATGGAGCTCAGAATTTGAAAGCCTAGTTTTGAATTTAGTACACACTTTTACCATTAGTCTACACAAAAAATGGTCCCAATATAATAGGACAATTACATTTTTTACTAAAAAACATTCTGAATGGCTTAAAATGGAATTCATTTTACCAACTCTTCTATTACAAATGAATGATAAAACTGTTGGTTGTCCGAAAAAAAATTTGAGTTGTGCACAGAAAGAATAAAAAAACAAAAAATTTCAAATCTTGTACAAAATTATATGAATTTATAAATTGATATGGACGGTACAGTGGTGACTAAGTGTGTTGACGACGTAAACTTTAATATGGCGTAAAAATATCTCATACGTTTGAATCTCGGTGAGGAAAACGATGTTTTGACATTGATAATTATAAACTTAGTGAATACCGTGTTTTAATGAATGGACGTTCAAATTTTAGGTGCACTAATAAAAAATGTCCTGCGAGTGTTATTGTTAATAAATGAGGAGTATAATAATCAACGATAATAAGCAAACAAGTTCCGGCACTAGAGACTTTCGTCACAGGTAGCCAAAATATGTGTGCACAATTGAGTTGTGCATTTTTACGTAAACGAGTTGTAAAAAAGGTAAATGTGCGCAAACGAGTTATAGCTGTTGAAAAACAAATAGATATCTTAAATACAACAGATTTAATTTATAATAATAGTATATTGAAAATCGAGCACAAGCTAATTTTTTCAATGGTCGATAGAAAGGTAAATTTATTTTTATATATACTTTGGAACTATTTATTTTTAGAAATAATAAAAGAATGTACATAATTAATGCACCTATAGGTATACAATTGAATGACTTTTACATCGAGTCAAAAATTTTATATCTGTGGTTGTAGTCCAAAACATGCCAATGATATTGATAAAGTATTAAAGTTAAGTACTAAACCGAAACATTTTAAATTTAGTTTATCGACTTTACACGCATGGATTAGACTTTTTGAATGTTTATTGCATGTCATATCGTTTGGACTTCAAAACTTGGTAGATAATAATTATTTTAAGTAGGTATTATACTTAAAATAAAATTAATAGAAGGTATACATAAGTAGGTATTATACTTATGTATACCTTCTATTAACTAAATTTTAAAGAAAACATAAATTAATGCATTATAAGTGAAAACTACTGAAAATAAATTGAAGTTTGCAAGTAAAAAAAAAAAGAAATACAAGAAAAATTTCGTTCTGAAATGGGATTATTAGTAGATATAGTATTACAAGATATATTTTAATTTAAAAATTATTATGTTTATAACTATTTTAAATTTAAATTATAATATCGTTAAAATAGGTTGCGGTACAACAAATAATTAAAATACAACCAGGAAGTTCTTTAAAATGCAAAAAAAATGAAATGATATTACTGGTTTGAACATCAATTTAATCAAATGATTTGGAACGATTTTAACTGTCATTGAAAGTGGGTATGAAATAAATACAGATTCTTTTGAAACGTATGGTATCCAAACAGCTAAACTATTTGATGAACTCTACCCCTGGTACTGTATGCCTCCATCTGTACATAACATTTTATTTCATGGAGCTGATGTTATCCGGCATACAATTTTGCCAATTGGTATTTTTAAATATTATTTATTATATTTGTGTGTATAATATGAAAAATATATATTTATAAAAAAAA